GGCGGCGCGGCGCGGCCTTTGCGCGGCCCCGGGGGCGCGGGCGCACGCACGTACAGCAGCCCACGGCGCCTGTCGAAGCGCACCGAGTCTCCTCGGGGAGCGGAGGCGCGCACCTCCCGGGGAAGCAGCGCAGCAGGGGTGGGCAGAGCCGGGAGCCCGCGGCGGGGGGCGAAGCGCGTGGCAGCACGACACACTGGGCAGGACACCGTGTCGCCGCCACCTGCCGTGGCCAGGGACAGCCGTGCCAGGCACTCAAGGCAGAAGACGTGGCCGCAGTCCAGCCGCTTGGGCAGCTTGAAAGCACCATCGAAGGGTGACACACAGATGAGGCACTCGGTGGGGGACGCAGGGGACAGCATGGGCCCGGTGCCGGGGCTGCCCTCTCCCTCCTCCCCAGCCTCATCCTCCGTGCCTTCCGGGGAGGTCCGCGAGCGGCGAAGCCAGGGTGGCCGAGGGCAGGGCATGGGGACCACCTGCAGGGATGGGCAGAAGCCAGCTAAGACGAAGGCACCCGGGGTAAGCTTGGGAAGATCGTTAGCGGGGCAGACCGGGAGCCAAAGCCCAGGGAGCCAGGCCATCAGATGGCTGCTAGCAGGAGTTTGCGACCCAGTCCACCTGCCACACCACCCCCAAGACCGTCCAATACCTAGAGATGCTTCCAGTCTGCAGTCTGTTCTGTTGTGAACCTGCCGGGGACCAGCTGAGGCCAGGTATGACAGTGCCCCTCCCTGGGGTGGGGGCCACCCCCTTCCCACACCCGTGGAACCCGTTGGGCCACCCTCCCTCCCCGCCCAGGGTGAGCAGCAGGCTGACTCTGGCGGGGGCGACTGCAGGGTGGTGATGAGGAGGGCAGAAGCAGCCCACCTGTCCAGGAGGGGAACCCCAGGGAAGGTGCAGCGAAGCCAGCAGACACGAGCCTGTTTTCTTCACCTAAGGACAGTGCCAAGGGACGGCCTCAAGAGCACTCCAAAGCCCCACACAGAGCACGCCAAGGTGTCAGGCCCCCAGATGTGCAGGTGGCCCCATCCTGTGTTTCCAGTGCCTGGTGCACCTTCAGCCCCCCAACACAACACAACACAACACAACACATGACAGGGCTGCTTGTGAGCAGTTTATTGGGCAGCAGCTGAGAGCTCAGCGGTTGGACTTGGCCACACGCTCTAGTTCATCCTTCTTCTTGATGGCATAGGAGTTGGAAGAGCCCTGCAAGGAGACCGAAGTGAGCTGTGTGCTTGGGCAACCCCCACACCCACTTCCACACGCACCCCACCCACCTTGGCAGCATTGATGAGCTCATCGGCCAGGCACTCGGCAATGGTCTTGATGTTCCGGAAGGCAGCCTCCCGTGCACCCGTGCACAGCAGCCAGATGGCCTGCAGAGCACAGCAGAAGGCTCAGCATGGTGACTAAGCACGGTCTGGACTACCCCCAAACCTAAGAAGGGGGTAATATCCTGCTAGATGGAGCGCTCCCTGCTGCCACCCCCAGGTGCGCCACCAAGATTGGAAAGATCAGTCTTGCTCTTGTAAATACATTTAAAAAACCCCCAACAAACCAAAAAAAAAACCAACCTCACTGACTCATTTTATCATTTTGTGGTCTTGGGGATTGAACCCAGGAACCAAGCATGTTAGAGAAGCACTCCCCACTGAGCTACATGCCCAGAAAGTCTTGCTCACGCGGTCCAAGAAGGATACTCCCATCAGTGCCCCCCAAAAAGAGACCGAGCTGTGGGAAGGAAGGAGTTGGAGCTGGGATGGCACAGGGTGGGAATCCAGGAGGCTTTCCTGGAGGAAGTGAGACTCTAGGTAAGGTGTGTAAGAGGATGGATGAGCCTGCCTGCCTGGATGGGACTCCACCCAGCTCTTGGGGCTGGCTATTCCTGCCCTGCCACCGCACAGGCCCCAGACCCACCTGATTCACCCGGCGCAGTGGGGACACATCTACTGCCTGCCGTCTCACTGTCCCTGCTCTTCCAATGCGCGTAGAGTCCTCCCGAGGGCCACTGTTGATGATGGCATTTACCAGGACCTGAAGAGGATTCTGGGAGAGAAGAGGCCATGAGCACCTGACACACTGATGTGTGTGCTGAGCTTGGCATGTATCACTGCCCAGCGCCTTGGCCCCAGAGCACTACCTCGCCGGTGAGTAGGTGGATGATCTCGAAGGCATGCTTGACAATGCGCACAGTCATGAGCTTCTTGCCGTTGTTGCGGCCATGCATCATCATGGAGTTGGTGAGCCGCTCCACGATGGGGCACTGTGCCTTGCGGAACCGCTTGGCAGCATAGCGCCCGGCGCTGTGGGGCAGGTACTTGGCGTATTTTTCTTTCACTGCAATGTAATCCTGGGGGGGGGGGGGGTGAGGGGACCGTACAGTCAGGAGCAGGATGGGCTCTACCAGACCGAGCAGCTCTCACGGAAGCACCAGCTACTCATAACCGCACTCTGCCAGCTAGGGGATACAAACAGGAGCCCACTTGCCAAGTCACTATAGAGGAAGCAATGTGACTTTGGGTTTTACAGGGTTGCTCCCCAAACTACACTGACTACAGTATCTACTACACAATGTTTAGCACCACCCTCCATTTTTATTTCTGCAGTACTCAGGATTGCACCCAGGGCCTTCCCCAGAGCTTTATCACCAGCCCTAAAAAAATTTGTATTTTTGAGAGGACCTTCTAGTTCAGGCTGGCCTTTTTTTTTTTTTTTTTTTTTTTTTGCAGAACCAGGGATTGAACTCAGGCCCTTGTGCTTGCCAGGGAAGCATTTATTCCACTGAGCCATCTCCCCAGCCCCTTCAGGCTGGTCTTGATTCACAGTGATTTTCCTGCTTTAGTCTCCCATGTATGTACTGGGATTACTAGCATCAGCATGTCTGGTGACTCCTTAAAATTTTTTGAGCTAGGGTCTCACTAATTTTCCCAGGCTGGGCCCGAACTTAGCTTTGGTCCAAAGTCAATAGGATTGCAGGCTTGTGTGTGACTGGCACCTTCAATTTTGACAACTTAAGTGATTCTACATATTGTGGAATGTCTCCTGCAGAGAGGAACCACCACCCTATACTGAAAACTATTCTACAAGCATCTAGGGGTCAGGGAGATGGCTCAGTGGAATAAGAGCTTCCCTGGCAAGCGCAAGGGCCTGAGTTCAATCCCCGGTTCCACAAAAAAAAAAAAAAAAAAAAAAAAAAAAAAAAAAAAAAAAAAAAAAGAAAAGAAAAAAGCACCGTATCTACAAGCATCTAGGAAAACGCCAAAATGTTAACCTTGAAGGTGTAGGGGGAAAAACAAAAAACAAAAACACAAAACAAAAAAACACGGGGGCTGGGGAGATAGCTCAGATAGCATAACCACCTACCTGGCAAGCCCAAGGCCCTGAGTTTGATTTCCAGTACAAAAAAACAAGCCCCCCGCAACAAACCCTCACAAATTGGGCATGGTGGGGGCCCGGGAGATGGCTCTCAGTAGAATAAGCACTTGCGTGGCAAGCACAAGGGCCTGAGTTCCATCCCCAGTTCTGCAAAAAACACACAAAAAACCAAGTTGGGCATGGTGCTGCATGCTTTTAATCTCAGCAGTCTGGAAGGCTTAGGCAGGATGAAGCCCAGCCCGGCAACTTGACAAAACTCTGCCCCCACCCCCTCAAAGACCAAAGACTTCCCCAAACAAACCCATGTAAGACAAATAAATGATATTCAGGATGCAAAATAGGCCTGAATTATGAACCAGAAAGGAGCTAATGGTGAGACACACCTATTAATTCCAGCATTTGGGAAGTGAGCCAAGAGGATCTGGACTACACAGTGTGATTAAGGCCAGTCTGAACTACATAGTATACTGAGAGCCTGTTATCAACTGGGGAAAAAAAGTAAATATGTAAGTCCAGTTTCTATTTCTTTATATAAAAAAGAAGTTACAAGGGTCAGTGAGATAGTTCAGCAGACTAAGTGCCTGCTTAGGCAAGTGCAGGACCAGGGTTTGATTCCCTGCATAGCATGCTGCGCGGGCCCCAATTGGGACCCAGTCTGGGTATGGTGGTGCACGCCTATAATCCCAGCACTAGGGAAGCTGGGGCAGGAGGATCCTTGCGAGTTAAGGCCAGCTTGAACTGCATAGTGCGACCTGTCTCAAAAACAAAACAAGGGGCTGGAGAGATGGCTCAGTGGTCTAAAGCACCTACTTGAAACAAGCTTGGCAAAGCACAGGGACCGTGGTTCGATCCCCAGCACCACATGCCAGCCAGCCCCACCCCCTGGTGGGCTGAGCTGGCCACACACACACACACACACACAATAAATGTAATAAATAAAAATAAATATTAAAAAAACAAAACAAAACAAAAAATACAAACTATAACATTAATAAAGAGAGGGGCAATAAAAGCTGTAGTTCCTAAAGTCCACAAAATTCATGAAATTCTGGAAGGAAGAAAAGTTCATGTATAAATGAGTATGGGAGCAAGAATAAAGCATGGAGTTAGGTGTGGTGACACATTTGTAATCCCAGCACTAAGGGAAGCTGATGCAAAATTGTCAGCTGGGAGACTAGGCTGGGCTACAAAATGAGTTCAAGGCCAGCCTGAACTGCAGAGTGAGCCTATCTCCAAAAGGATCGGGGATGTAGCTCAGTGCACAGAACCTGTCCCCAGAAGCACTCACACTGATTCCAAATTTTATAAACCCAGTTATCAAGACTACTATTGGCATAAGGACAGTCATGCAGACCAATGTGATAGAACTGAAAATTCAGAAATAAACTCATCCATTCACAGGCAGGCAATTATCTTTACAAGGTGCCAAGATCACTCAATTGATTAGTGCTGGATAATGTGTTATCCATCGGGAAAATAATGTTGGCTGTTACTTTGAAATGGATTTCATTTTTTAAAATTTATTTATTTAATTTAATTTATTTATTTGTGTGTGGCCAGCTCAGCCCACCAGGGGGCGGGGCTGGCTGGGGGATTGAACTGCGGTCCCTGTGCTTTGCTAAGCTTGTTCTAAGTAGGTGCTTTAGACCACTGAGCCATCTCACCAGCCCCTGAAATAGATTTTATTCCAGTGAGCTCAGAATGTGCTATACCAGTGCTACCCAGGCCTGAAACATTGAATATTTTCCTACAGCAAAGTTAAACCTGACACAGAAGAGTACATGGAATGGCAAACACCTGAAGAAACTATCTCATGACAAAACTGCAGACATCCTTGAGCTAAATGTTAAAAAGAATGGATAGTAGGTAGGTGTTGTGGAACATAACTGTAATCCCAGCATATGCAGGCTGAGGTTGGAGATCAAAAATTTGGAAATGGGCTGGTGAGATGGCTCAGTGGTCTAAAGCACCTACTTAGAACAAGCGTCACAAAAAAGCACAGGGACCACGGTTCAATCCCCCAGCACCACATGCCAGCCAGCCCCGCCCCCTGGTGGACTGAGCTGGCCACACACACATACTTTATAAAAAAAAAAAAAAAATTGGAAACAGTCTGAAAATCCCACCACAAAAATAGCAAAGAGGGAAGGCTCTAAGTAAGTTCTGAGTAGTGGATGGGGGCAGATGTGGATGTGGACGCCCAGCCATCTTCCTTTTCCTGTTATGCTTCCTTCTGTTGACTTCGGGGGCAACTCTGAAGCAGGAAGACCATCACATCCCACTTACCTGCAGGGAAATGTCGTTGATCTGTACATCATCAGTGCTCCACTTCCCAAAGAGTTTGATATCAGGGGTCTCGGCCACTGCCGGTGCAGCTACCTCCCACTCACTCATCCTAGAGGGGATGAGGGAAGGGAGAAACGGTCAGAGTCCAGGCCGCACATGCCCACCTCTACTAAGCAGACACCATTTGTGACAAGAGGAGCGAGTGGAGGGAACGTCTCTCCCGGCGCTTGGAAAAGCACTCAGCTGTAAGCAACATGTCTCATTTCAGGTCCTGAGCCGCAGAGGACCCGGTGATCGCCTGGTCAGCAAGTGCCACGCAGAACTCGCTATAACGCCCCGCAGGTGACGCCAATACCCAGACATCACACTGGCCAGGAACCAAATCCTAGGCACGAAAACGTCGTGCTCGAACGGCCTCGCGAGAAAAGCAGCTCTACACGCGGCTCTCTCGCCGCGCAGTGGCCCTCCAGCACGGCACCGGACCCAGCGTGTGGTGGACGAAGCAAGGTTCGTCCCAACACTAGGGGCTGCTACTGAGGAGAAAACGTGGGCGTTACTTCCCGTTCGGAAGCCCGAACTCAGCTGCGGAGCCGCGCGGAGCGGCAGAGCTGCGAGACGGCCGCGTACAGGCAGCCGGGGGACCTCGGTCCGCGCCCTCTCCGGCGCACCGTTTTTCCGGAAGAGGCAAGGCCCGGAGCGGGAAAGCTCCGGCTCCCGTGTCCGCCACGGCCCCCCCAGAGATTTGCTCTCCCTAGCGAGCCGCGAAGCTTCCAGCCCTCCTCAGTCTCACCTGAGGGTGCAGCTGGGTTCTCTCAGCCGCTCGGCGTAGGCCACGCGGCGCCTGAGCAGAGACAGGAAGAGGCCGCGCGCAGCGTGCCGACACCTTTAAGGAGAGCAAAAACTTCCGGGTCAGCGACGACAACGCGCTTACGCACAAGGTCATCAGTGTTTGGCGGGAGCGGATGTTCTGTAAGAAGCACTTGCCCGGCCCTTAAGTCACTGCGCAAGCGCGGAGATGACAGAGAGTCCAATTTCGCCATGTCTAGTAAGGGCAGAAGGCAGGCCCTCACTTTAGACGTAAGCCGCGGACAGCCAATTGCGGCCTCGACCTGGAGCCGTCTCCACAGCAACTTTTTTCTTCGGGGGGGGGGAGGGGGCGCGGCTGCTTGGCGTGCGCGCGCCGCGAGCCTGGGTTGGCGGAGAAGGGCCGAGTGCCAAGGACTGCGCGCCTCTGGTCCTGGGCTCCACCCGTCGCGCCGCTATCCCCAGCTCTGTACAGGCGCCCTACCCGGCGCGCGGGAGGGCCCGGTCTCTCTCTGAGCGGGGACCTCGGAGAGGGGCGGGGTTGTCGGCTGCGACGCTTCTGCGGCGCCGACGATGCCCGACGGGGCCTCCCAGTTCTGCACATCGGCTCCCGGGAGCTCTGGGACAGGCGCCTCTATTTGAGACCGAAGCCTGAAAGGAAGAGAATGGCTGAAACGGGGTGATATCTTCCCTGCACGGGCCTTTCCCCATCCCCAGCGGCGCCAAGAAGTCTGTAAATGGGTTGGGCTGGTGGGGACAAGTCCCCAGTGCCCTCAGGCAGTCGCGCAGCTGTGTTCTGCAGGCCTCAGGCATCCCCTGGGGCCAGCAAGCCTTGGGGCAGCCGGCGGGCCCTCTGTCCCCTAAGCTGCTTCCCCTTTCAGCGGGGAAGTGAGGACCCACTCGCGGGCAAGGCTGGTTTGCACACTTGATAGTGGACATCTTCATAGACGCCCCAAGAGTGACCTGCCAGCTGGCAAAGGGCCGATGGGGGCGTCTTGGGCATGGCCCGTAGAAGGGAGGTGGGGAGCACAGCACAGATTATCCACAAGGCCCCTGGCAGGGCAACGGTCGCCAGCCTTCCCAGGCCTCCAGGAGGTTGAAACGGGACCCAAGATCTTATTCCATATGTCTAGGGCTGCTGGTGTTTTCTTCTGCATTATCAGGGATCCTGGAGGCCCTGTGTGGTCGGTCTCCCTTGGTACTTCTCGTCCACTCTGGCTGACCAGCCCGCGCCCAGCCTCCTCATGTCCTGGAACACACCCAGGCTCTCTCAGGCAGCCACTTCCCTCTCTGCCCCTCCAGCTATAGCTGGTGGCCTTGTGATGATGGCTTCTCTTGGCTCTCAGAGGCGTCTTGGATGTCTGAAAGTCAGCCTAATTTTTAACCAGTTAGGAATGTGTGGAGTGGGCTGTGCCCTGCTGCCTCGTGGATCCAAGCCCAGCCCTACTAAGTCCCAGATGGCCCGTGTACCATCTGCTTAAATGGAATGCCCTCCTGTAGTGGGTTGAATAATGGCCCCAAAAAGGAAATGTCCTTGGTATAATGCCCAGATTTTAAATGTGGCCTTTCTGGAAAAAGGGTTCTTCGCAGATTTTTGTTTGGTTTTGAGACAGCGTCCTGCTATGTAGTCCAGATTGGCTTTGAACTCACTATTTAGCCCAAGCTGGCTTGAAATTCACTGTGATCCTCCTGCTGCAGCCTCTTAAGTGCTGGTATTACAGTTGCAGATATACTTTTTTTGGTACTGGGGATTGAACTCAGGGCCTTATGCTTGCTTGACAGGTGCTTATACCACTGAGTTATCTCCCTAGCCCCAGTTATACTTTAGTTCAGGATGTTAAAATAAGATTATTTTGGATTACCAGGTAATCTTTCTTAAGTCCAAAGACAAGTGTTCTTTATAAGAGAAGATAGAGGGGGCTGGGTAGACAGCTCAGTGGTATAAGCACCTGCCTCACAAGTGCAAGGTCCTGAGTTCAATCCCTGGTACCACACACACACACACACACACACACACACAAAGAGACAGAGAGAGAGAAAGCTAGAGCCAGGTATAGTTGTCTTATCCCAGCACTCTGCGAGACTGAGGTAAGATCACAATTATTATTTAAAAAAATTTTGTTTTTTGGCTCTGCAGATAGTGGCATAAGTGCAAACACAAGGTCCTGAGTTCAATCTCTGGTACCAAAAAGGAAATAAATTAAGTTAATTAATTTTGTCTTTTGAGACAGGGTCTCACTCTCTAGTTCTGGCTGTCCTTAAGCTCAATAGTTTGCCCAGGCTGGCCTTGAATTTACAGTGATTCTCCTACCTCAGCCTTCCAAGTACTGGGCTCACAGGTGCGCACCAGCAGGATCACAAATTTGAATCCCACCTGGAAAACTTGGTGAGACCCTGTCCCCCGCAAGAAGGGTGGGGTAGGGGTGTAGCTCAGTGTGAAGCCCTAGGTTCAGTGCCCAGTACCAAGAAATAAAAAAAAAGGAGGAGGAGGGAGATGGGAGGAAGAAAGAAGGGGAGAGAGAGGGGGAGGGGGAGGAGGAAGAGGAGGGAGAGGAAGGAGGAGAGGAGGGAGAAGGAAACAGACTAGTGATCCCAGAGGAAGGAGAAATTGGAGCCACAAGCTGAAGAACGAGTGCAGAGAGCCACCCAAAGCTGGGAGAAGAAAGGAAGCGTCCTCTAGGGCCTTCAGATGCTTGGAACCTCTGACTTTCTTTTTCCTTTTTAAAAAAAAAAATGATTTGGGTTTCTTTAGGGGGCCGGGGAGATGGCTCAGGGGCCTGAGTTCATTCCCCAGTTCTGAAAAAAAAAAAATTATTTGGAACTTCTGACTTTCTCTGAGAGAATAAACTCATGTTTAAACTGTCAAGTTTGTGGTATTACAATAGCCACAAGAAAGGAATACAGCGGTCCCTCACTTATTGTGGAGGTTACATTCCAGATACCCCCATGATAAGTAAAAAGCAGCTAAGTAGTGACGTTATATTGATTTTTATATATAGGCTTTATGAACCCTTCCCACACTCTTATAAACTTTTCCCACACTTAAAAACACTTCTGATGTTCTTAGCCATTTTCTAAACTTGTAGACCTACATAATTTTAACAACATATATATATATACTGTATGGTACATCATATAGCCATCCACTAAAATACATACTGTAAACTTGCGATTTAATATTTTATTGTTAGAATTAATGTTTTAAACATTTTTATATATTTAAAAAATTTTAGGCAAAGATCATTGAAATCAAATACTATGTATATAAATATGTATATGATACTGTACACTACTGCAAAATCCCATGATATAGCAAAAAATCCACAGTAAATAATTTAGATTAATAGCTTTGCCCACAAAACACTGCTGTTGTATGTTACTGGTCGGTGCTGCAAGAAACGACGAGAAGACCCGATGCATATAGCTTCAGAGGTCTCCCTGAGATAGTCTCTCTCCCAGTGAGCCCCGAGCCTCAGAAGCACCTCACATTTGCTGAGGGCTCAAGGCAGGCTAAGGAGGGTGTATAACTACTTAAGTGAACACAAACTACTTTCTCTAGTGACTTCCCCCATTTGCCTCACACTAGGTCCACACAAATGCTAGCTGATAACACCCCAAGCAAGGGATCAAAGGACAGCGCGCCTGCAGGAGAAGCTGTTATCTGCAGCCTTGGGTCCCAGCTGGCCAGGATTTCTAAGTGACAGACAGCGGCTCTCCCTGGGCTCTGTCTATTGCTCCCTGCTCTCTTGGGACATTAGGCTTTTGTCTCTTTTTACTGTTACATTATAAATTTTATTTACGAAGTTTGATCAATAAGGAGGAAAATAATAAAGCAAAGAGGTACCAGAATCAGGACAGCCACACATATATACACAAGATATGAACAGTACAGACTTGTTTCTAGCAAATTCAATTTTACTCACAACATTTAAAATACAAAGTACATTTCACTCTGTCCAAAAGCTGACAATATTTAGCACCGGGGCAGAAACTATTTTAGCTTCTAATCATGACCTCAATATCCGTGAACAGTAGCAGATGGGAGTCTACACACTTACCACCAATTAACAAAAAATTAACTTTGGAAAGTACTTCCTACATATCAGCAGTTCAAAGATGATTTAAAGGCGTAATATTAAAGCAGGCACGACTTGATGCTGCGGACTGCTCTCCTACAGTGCTTTGTTTTCATCTCCTCCAATGCTGGCTCCAGTTGCTGCACTAAGTGAAGCGGGGTGGCTGGGCCTGTCTGCAGAACTTTGGTGTTGTGATCGCCATTGTGATCAAGGTGCAGCTCGAAAGTCACCGCTGGTTTAATTGCTGCCGGAGACTTCTGCTTGCAAGCTGCACATCTAGTCGCCATTGAGCGCCATGGTAAGGGGGAAGGTCAGGTGCCAGTTCATTTAGAATAGTTCTGATCTCCTTTCTGTTGTCCAGAGAAAGCTGAGGCAATGATTTGTTTAATTCTTCAGAGAATCCCAAAACCAAAACTGTCTTGGAAATCCAGTTCAGATATCATAAGCTTTGAGCTCTCAGTGAGGAGATAGGTTAAGCCTTCCACACCATGCTGGACAGTGTCACTACTCACATTGAGTTTTCTGGTGGCGCCTTCGCAGAGCTTAGCGTTCGACCCTCGCCTCGGGAACTCCATCGAGATGCGCCCGAACTTGGCGACCACCACGCTAGCCACTTGTGGCAGGAAAGCCAGGTGCTCCCAGTGCTCCTCTGACAAGTCCAGCAGCATGTTCTCCGCCGAGCCGATTTCACCCATGGCGCCGAACCCGCCCTCTCAAATCTATATTTCTATACACTGCAAAAGCCGAACCGCGAAATAGCATGGGACTACTGTGTACCCTAGATAACCAAAAAGTACCCTCTGCCATCTTTGGCCTTTGCTTTGTCACTTATTTCTTGGATACAAGGTCTCACTATTCAGACTTATAGTGATCCTCCTGTGTCAGCCTCCCCAGCACAAGGTTTACGGACATGTGCCACCACACCAGCTTTCAGGGCCCATGGTGCGCCCAGGGTTCTAGGGCTGCAGGGCGTGTGGTGTGG